GTTTGGAGTTTGAATGGATGAGTCCTCTAAATAGTACTTTCCTTGTATCGTTCCCTACTTTTACACTTCTCATATTTCCTCATATATAACTGTAGGTAAACTGTCACAAGTACTGAGCATGTGAGTTGTTGCCTAAGAAGAAAATTTACAGCATTTCTTATTATCTTCATGGTCAGGATGATTCTTGCTCAATTGAATATTAAAGTACGTAGTATCTCATTAGATTTAGTATTGAATAAGGTATACCATTCCAGGATATTAGAAGTTATTGAAAATTAAGCACAACCACTCAAAAAATTTTCTCTACAAAATTGTGTTGAGAAAATATGACACAACAAATGAAGGATTTTGAAAACCCTACCAATTCATGGACCACATATTCGCAATCAGCATGTTGAGGAGTACCTGTACTGAGAGTTTCAACAAAATTTAAAATTGGGCAGAACCTGCCAAATATGTAAGCTTTACACACCTTAGTAATTTTTTGACTGTAATATATTTTTCTCTCAGTATTGGAATTTAAGGGGTTAAAATAATTAAGTACAGTGGTCCCTCGGTTAACGAGCACAATCCGTCTAAAAGGTTGCTCGTTAACCTAAAAACTTGTTAACCGGAACCATTGTTTCAATGGGTTTTTGGGTAATTGGTTCCAGCTCACCAAAAATTGCCTAAATTCAACAAAAAAGATAGAAAAGTACACTTACTTTGAGGTGTGTATGTAGAAGGCTCCTGGATGATGATGATGATGATGATGGGAATTAGAATGGGGGTGGAGGAGAAGGGAGAAGAGAAGGCATTGGGGTGGAAGAGAAGTCACCCCATGGCGCCATTTCACCCATAAAATTTTAGTTCTCTTGGTGTAATTCAAGATTATTTTCTTTAAATCAACACTGCACTGCATTATATGTTGTCAATATGTGAAATAAATTTCAAAATTACCAATAATTTGCTTGCAAACACAGAAAAAAAGCATTTAGTTGAAGAGAGTCTCAAGCAAGATGTTACCTCCACTGAAAAGACAGAGAGACTGGCGCCTGTTTGGTGTGTTGATAGGCTGGATGGTGCGCATAAAACTAGTTTCCTTACCTTCAATTATGTTCAATAATTGTTAAAATGACTAAAAAATTTAATATTAAACTTGTAAAATTATTGAATAGTATAAACTTCTTGATATTTACTAAAATGGTAAGGAATTTAAGGCCTAGAACCGATTACTGTATTGGCGGACTAATACTACAGCTGGTGGCCCTCCAAATGCAAGCGAAAACATGTTGAGGTCGGCTCGTAAGAAACTCGTTAATCGAGGGATTGCTCGTTAACCGAAGTTAAGAATCTTATGGAAGGTAACTTGTTAACCGAAATCTCGTTAACCGAGGGGCCACTGTACAGTAAAACCTTTATAAATCTGACTTCAATATATGTATTGGAATTAGCTTTTTTCGGACTGTCTTGGGTGCTCTGGACCGCACCTCTATTTACCGGAAATATAAAATATAGTGGAAAATCCAACATCAGTCCGAACAGTTTGTGTATTCATGCATGGGGTCGACTCCTGCCTTCATATCAAATTCAAATTCAAAAGATTTATTGACAATTACATCAAAAGGAGCTGGTTAGCATGCTAACTAGCCCACCCAAAACTAGTCTTAACAAGAGCTCTTTAACATTCTACTAATCATAAATCAGATATGTATACAACAAATAGATATGCATAAAATCTACAATCTTATGTTAAACTTACAGATTTTCTTCATAATATTCTTAACCGTATTTTTGTTTATTAAATAACACACCATCTCTGTAATATCAGTAATACCATCACCCCTAAATTCTGATAAACAGTTACATTCCATCATGTAATGATATAATGTATGAGACTTTACATAGCCACACAGTTTACAAGGACTGCCATCAGTTCCTTTAATATATTGCCAATAATATTTGTATCCTAAGCGTAGCCTCATCACAAATGTATCACACTTAACCGAAGCCTTACCATAAGTAGAACCTGTAGAATTCAAGACTCGAACATAATGTTTCAAACTACTACTGCCGTTGTTCAAAATTTTCCGAATATTGTCCATTTCCCATTGCTGTCGGATTTTTACCATTCCAGATTTTATTCTTTTAATACCCAAAATACAATCGTATTCTCCAATTTCTTTGCCACACCCTTGCTTGGCCAAATTATCAGCAACCTCATTCATATAAATACCACAATGGAATGGAATCCACATAAAACTAACATCATATCCAAGTGATTTTATGCCCTGAATACACTTCTTACATTTTAAAACTAAATCATCATCAAGAGGCACTTTAGAATTTAGAGCAAATAGAGCACTTTGACTGTCAACAAACCCAAAACTGTCTTTTTCCTCACAAAGTCCCACATATATAGCATAAAGTTCAGCAGTGGTGCTGGAACTTCTATCCCCAATTCTCTTTGATATTCTTTCTTCAACACTAATACCATATTAAAAAAATTCCCTAATAACAATGCCACATCCGGCCCGATTCCCATTAACTGAACCATCACAGTACATATGAGCAACATTTTACTTATGGTACTCAGATATTTTCTCAAGGAATATTTGCCGTAACTCAAAAGGATTAAATTTTTTTCTTTAAACTCTAGCTTATCCATTCTTACAGATACACTCTCCATGAACAAAGGTTTCAAATAAACTTTGTTTGGCAAAGGTACACACAAATCTACAATATTATATTCACACAACATCTGACAAAGTTTTTTAGTATAAGTATTCATCTTAATATTACTAGAACTGTAATTGCATTAGTAAATTTATAAACAGCAGACTTCAGATACCCATCACCACGCCTAATAAGCCTTAGAGTAGAAATGACAGTCAACTCCCTAATTCTGTGTATTATGCTCGGGACATTTAGCTCCATCCTCATAATCTCTATTCTTGTTGTCCTTGGACAACCATGCACAATCCTCATTGCTTCATTCTGAATAAGCTCTAATGGCCTAAGATCTTTTCCTGAGTAAGAAGCTAGAACTGGAACTGAATAATCAATGATACTCCTAACTGTACTTGAGTACATAGATCTTAAAACTGGTATACCAACACCATTTGCTCTATTTGACAAAACTTTCAGAGGTTTTAGCCGAGCTGTACATATATTTTTGACATAAGTAATTTGATCCTTAACATTTTTATTTATACCCTCAAACATTCCCAGATATTTGTAACTGGATACTTTTTGCAATTTTATTCCATTTAGCCAAAATTCTTTTCCATTTACTGCCCTTGACTGAAATTTGGTTTTATTTTCATTAATGACCAGTCCCAAGGAGAGAGAAAGATACTGCAGCTGATCAATGACCCTAGACATATCTTCCTCATTCTTACATTGGATCAGAATGTCATCAGCATAAATGATTACTTGGGACTCGCCCTGGAATTTGTAACTAGCTATTCTGTCCATAAGAATATTGAAAAGCATAGGGCTAAGAATGCCACCTTGTGGGGTACCCAACCCTAGACTCTTTTCTTCTGATTCATGACCTTGAAACCAGACTCTCGCTTTCCTGTTAATTAAGTAATGTGTAATCCACATCAATAATTTCCCTTTTATACCTTTACTTACAAGACTTTCTAAGATCACTTCCTTATTTGCCTTATCAAATGCACTTGTAAGGTCTACAAACAGTCTACAGTTGACATTAGCATTACTAAGACATTTAATCACACAATCTGTAGTGCTTTTACCCTTTAAAAATCTAAGCAAATTACTAAACAAGAAACCATCAATTTTATACAATAATCTATTTAATACCATTCGCTCCATCATTTTAGATGGACAAGATGTTAAGGATATGGGTCTATATTCATTATCACCCTTAGGCACAGGAACAATGAGTGCCATTTTCCATTTCACTGACAGTCTTCCATTTTCACATGACAAATTAAGAGATCTAGAATTGGGTTGTCCTCCATACTTCTAAGATAATTTATAACTTCATAAGTTAGACCATCCCTGCCAGGAGCACTAGACTTCCCTTTCTTTACAGCATTCAGAATTTTATCCTTAGTAAAAGGAACACAGGTTTCCTCACTTAGAGTACTTTGGATATTCACCAACCTTCGCCTCATAGATCTTGAATTCCTCAAGCAAATCTGAACATTACTTGGGAGACAGTCATAATTAGATGCATACGCCCACTTATTCATTAGCTTTGGCATTTGGATTGGGATGAACATTAAATTTCTTCTTGACTCCTCTTACCCTATTCACACCATCCCAAACCTGATTCAAAGATTTTGATTGAGCAATCTCTCTCAAAAAACCACTCCAATACATACTTCTGGCTTTCTGATTTAACTCTCTTGTACACTCTGCCACTTCATTCAGAGTTTCCCAGTTTTTTCATTGCTAGGATCTTTACTCCACTTACTATGACATTTCCTCAGTAACTTATTCCACCCCTTTACAATCTTATCATTATAATCCTTGTTCACAAAGGTAGGTTGTTGCAAAAGGCAGCATCATTTTTGTCGCTTCCAAATGTGCAATTTTAAAAGCCTTTGTAGCTTTTGACATCCAAAAAGACAAGACATCTGCCTTGTTCTGAAATTCCATGCGTGCATCATTGTTGGAGTGAAGTTCAAGAAGCGCTTCTGCCAATCCTTCAGGCTCTTCAGGCACATCTACAAGTTCACAGTTAAAGGGATTCACAACCCAACTGACAGTATGTGAATCAAGCTCTGGAAAGTAATCAGAGAACCACTGTTTGAGTTTGGTCAGGTGCCTTGTAACTGACTCCTTGATGTCACCAAGACTGAAATATTCACAATCTTCCAAAAACTCTGCTAGCTTTGGAAAGGCAGCTATCTTGTGTTTATTCACTTTCTGGTTCCAGTACAGAAGCTTTGATCCAAATGCCGAAATTTTTTCTCTTGCTAAAATGACACTCATGTATTTTCCTTGCAATTCCTTGTTCAATGCATTCACATGCCCAAAAATGTCAGCTAAATATGCAAGAAGTGCAAGCCAAGTGGAGTTTCTGAACTTATCTGCAAGGGCATGTTTTTGATCACCAGGGCATTTCCACGTGAAAGCCACCTCACATCTGTGTGAAAAAGGAGGCCTGAATATTCAGCCTCCCCATCCTCACATAAATCACGAAACAGCCATGTGTTTAGTGCATGCCCTTTCACAGCATTGACAATCTTGATCACATCATTAATGACAGCTTCCAGTTCTGGTTCCAACTGCTTCACAACCAATGCCTGGCGATATATCATACAGTGGGAAACCTCAATTTTTGGATTCTGCTCTTTGGCCAAAGTCACAAAGTCACTGACATGACCCAACATGGCTGGAGCTCCATCAACAGACACAGCAATATAGTCTTCCCACTTCAAATCAACACTTGGTTTTTTGAAGTGTGCATCAACCTTGTTGAAGACATCAATTCCACGAGATCTCAACTCAAGAGGAGAACATAACAACATTTCTTTTTCAATTGCATCAGAACCCCTGTGTCGAGCATATACCATCAGCTGCGAATTGCTACTGACATCTGTAGTCTCATCAAGTTGAATAGCAAAATCTTTGGTCTCTTTTATTGAAGAAATCACTTGTTCTCTCACATTTTCTGCTAAGATGGAAATTCTCTCTTTCACAACTCTTGCAGACAAAGGCACTGAACCCATTTGCATGGCTTCTTTCTGCCCACACATGATTTCTGCCATTCCCACAGCTGCAGGTTTGACTAATTCTTCGCCAATAGTATGCGGCTTCTTGTTTCGAGCAATCAACCAGGCCACTTCAAAGCTAGCTTTTGATGCTGAACGTTGATCAAATGTTGCTCTCTTGTTGCTATCCAATCTCTGCCTTTTGACAGCTCTTTCCAAATTCTCAAAGTATTCCCGTGGTTTGGAAGACAGATGTGAGTGCAAATTGTCCAAGTGTTTCTTCAGCTGATTATTTTTGAAAGACTCTGTAGTCAGCACTTTCAAACAGACGACACATTGTGGCTTCATTTGTCCTTTGTTCTCTATTTCTGTGAAGCCATAATTGAGGAACTCTGCCTGGTATGTCCTTTTCCTCATTGATGCCATCTGAAAAAAAAAATTAGACATATGTGTACACACCTGTCAATATTTCGTTTGACTTATGTTTCTGTAGTATTATACTGTACTAGTGTACTCTTACTCTTCTGTAGATATGACTGAATAAAGCAGAAAAGATATAATTATAACACAACAGGTCCACTTCCTATCACTCCTTATGAAAAGCCGTAACTGCGAAATTTCCCCACCTTTTTGAATCCCAGTTTTCTGGGATGTAATTGTTATTTATTTAGTTTTATTTTCTTAATGTAATGAGAATTTCAATACCGACTCCTAATTTATAATTGTTCCCCATCGTAAAAAATAGTTCAAGGGGTAACTCCACTATATACACGGCAGCTAAAATTTGTTTGGATTATACTGGAAATAATCATTTTAAAAATAGTTTCCTGATTTTATATATACAAGATACTAAGTCTGGGAAGATAAATCACTAGTTTTATATAGCTGTTTATAATAGAGTACATAAAAAAAATTTCTGAATATTGTGAAATTCACGACAGGAACTGAAGGAATGATTGAGAAAATTATTTCATCCTCAAGGTCACACATAATGACATACGATCATCTTTTACCTGATGTTTTAGGAACATTTTGTACCGCTCTTTACAGTAATCTTTCGAAAATCAATAACTTCTTATTTCAGATACATGGTTTTACATCTTGTTCAGTAAAACTTACGGTTCATCCCAGAAATAAGCCGTTTTTCAGAAATCAACACAAATCAACTGCTAGAGTAGGATCCAGTCAGATGTGTTTACACTCGACGGAAGGGTAACTTACAATTACACCATGAGATGGAAACAAACGTGATATCTGACGACCTCTAGAAACTTTAGTGACGTCACTCACCATGCCAAAGAAAACGTTTTTTAACAATGCGGAGTAAACTGAGGCTCTGATAGAAGTGTCTCTCATACCGCATGCATTACCCCCAAAAATTTTAGATTTACCCCATTTGGGGTAATTTACCTCTGTTCTATAGAGTAAGATATTTTCAGAACCATTCCATTGTGATTTTGAGAACCTCTACTGTCAAGATTGATGTGCCTAGCGTTCAAATCACCAATTAGTAAACAATCATCAGCAAAAATAATATCCGGCAGATCATCAACTGTCAATGAATCAGCATGCACATAAGCATTAATAATGAATGAACAGTGCAGCATCTTGAAGCGTAATACTAACACACAAATACTCGGTACCGTTTATTTTTAGAGCGGAATGAAAAGATGCTGGAATATCATCTTTAATATAAGTCATCAAACCTCTACAATTTACAGTCAAATCAGCTGGTAATTCAAAACTTTGATAACCTCTTAGTTGCAAAGATATTCCATTTGTCCCAACCTCTTGCAAAGCTATGACATCAATACTACTAGAATGAACATATGTATGAAGATCCGTTAACCTTTTTTTCAACTATTAACATTCCAGGAAATTAAGCTGACATTATGATCCATGAGAATAAATTTTCCTTCTCATATTCTTCACCGAAATAAGAACATTCTTTTTGACGTCGTCCCTTGGATTTTCCATATATTCCAAAACAGAGTCAAGAATGTTTGTCAGGTCACCAAGCATTTCCTTGTTTACTACATTCTCTTTAGAAACCAAACCAACTCTATTTCCTATCTGACTATGATAACTATTTTGCTCTAGATTGCTATCCACAATATTTGATTCCATCTCTACTAATGTTTCATTTTCTTTTGAACTATCTTTATTAACAAGAGCAACATCACTATATGGCACAAGATTCACCAAGCATTTCTTGATATCCAATACTGCTTGTTTGAGCTCATCAATCTCCTTACAGAGTTCCACTAGAATGTTAGGGGCTATATGGTTATTGTCCCCATTACCTATGTCCTTCTGTGCTGCTGCATTACGTATTTCCATACGCTTTTCCCACACATTTACAGCACTTGGTGTCCCTGCAACATCACTCCTTACAGCGTCACCTTTATCCTCTTGATTAGTGGACTGAGCTCGTGATTGCAATTGCTGAACTTTCGGTTTTTTAGGACACACCCACAAGCTGGCATTGTGAACCCCCCCACAATTACAGCATTTTGGTGTAATTTTCTCCTTTGCCTTAATTTTATCTCCACATACCTTAGATTCATGCATTTTTCCACAGAATCTACACCGAAAATCATTATGGCATTTCCACGCCATGTGCCCCCACTTGCAACGCTTATAGCATATTACTGGAGATTCATTGTAGACAGCAACCCGTTTATATCCCACACATCTCACAAAAACCTTCTCTGGCGGTGGACCTTTGATTAGCGCAATTAGCTGCGGCTTAGGTACTAGTTCTCCATCAAATTTAATTACACGTCTCTTGGCCCAAAAAAATCTATCGTCAGCCAACACATCCTCGGGGTCAAGGTAAACAGGATAATCAAAATGAATGATCTTCGTACAATGGACTCCACAGGCTTTTCCATCACTACATTCTCAAAACCTTCTGTAGTTAGATATCTAACTGCTTCCTCATCCTTCACAGTAATATAAGGAATATGTTTACCTTCTTTAAAGAGCACTTGATACCCTTGATGGCGCTTAGCGAGTCTAACTGACCACTTTACCTTATCATGAAAATCCATGCCATTATTCTTGGGGAAGTAAAGGCGTGGCCTCCTTGATGAGTTGCTGCCATCTAAATCATCAGTGGAGTTTACACTCGTTGTACTGATCATGGCTGAAGAATGACTCACACCATCAATTTTCTTTTGCTTATCCACCAAGTGGGAAATATTATCTCCACTGCTTGTACCATCTCTATTCCTCCTTTTATTCTTCTTTTTGCTATTAACAACTTTAAATGGCTCTTCTTCTTCACATTCACTGCTGCTAGACAGCTCCAAATCCAACAACAGTCCTCCAGCAGTACCCTGGGCTACATGCTGTGTCTGCTGTATCCACCATCCAATTCCGTCATTTTAGTAAGCGACCTGCTCGTTGAAGCTCTTCCGTCAGCCATGACAGTACGTGTCCAGCGAATTTAAGACTGCCTGCCTTCATATATATAGCATTAGCGTGTTACTCCTCACTACCTACACTCATTTATGTGAACTTTTTTGTAGAGTATCTTTAATGGGGATACTAGAGGGTAATGGGTAAAATTATGTAAGTACACCTCTTAAGTAATGGGTAAAATTACATAAAAGATCTCATGAAAAGAACATCACTCGCTCAACAAATACTATACAGTGGTCTAATCAGATTTACTGTAGGCCTAACAAGACAGCAGGAGTCATAGTGTTCATTCTGAAATTCATCGACTCCCCCCAAATACAGATAGTCTTTTGAGTGACTGTACATAATTGAAATATGTGGTATCAACAGTGTGAAGTCAATGAAATTGGACATTATCCCCCTCCCCCCTGTAGGTATACCATAAGCACTTCAGTTTCTACCATATATATGTGTGTCAAAGTCATGAAACAGAATCCTAATGTCTTGGAAGGAAAATACTGATGTAGGGTCATATTAAATTACTCACACTGAACTATCCAACTAGGAGCAAACTCGTAGCAATGGTGTTAAATTTGACAAATTTAGATTTAGGCGTGGGATAGGTAAACATTGGTTTGGAAATAGAGTAGTGGATGACTAGAACAAGTTACTAAACATCATTAAATCGAATATGCCAGATAGCTTCAAACATAGGTTGGATGGATATATGAGTGATAGGGGTTGGGCATAAACGGGACTGCCCATTATGGGCCAATAGGCCCGCTGCAGTTTCCTCCATTCTTATGTTCTTATGTTCTTAAATCAAATTAGGTAAAATATTTATTTGTCTTATTTTCTGTGTTATCATTTCATGTTATGTGTTCTAGGTAAAGAGTTAACTTTTGATTAACACTAAGTAACCAAGTATGTTATATTGCTGCTGTATTTTTATATATTGTAGTTATTGTTAATTTATTCCAATTCTAACCTTGTGCTATATAAATATGTTGTATACATTTATGCAGTATATTATACAGTACTGTGTATATGCAGTACAGGTACATATATGTATAGAGCACTTGGGAATGCACAGTTCTGGGTCCCTGACACAATTTTCAGCTGAGATACAATCTAGATGAACCCATGAGTCCTGTGGAACTGGAACACATGATAATTTTACTAATGAATGCTCTGAGATTGAGAATTAAAAGGGCAACAAAGGGGAAAAAGGCATCCAAGGATAGAAATTGTGTGTAACCTGGAGTAGTGTCAGAAGCATCATACTTGCATACGTATGCCAAACCTACTGTAGTTGATTCTATACCAGAACCATCATCATGAATTCTTTGGTTGGACACACATACCAAAATATATCATGTTAGGTCTTTGGTAATATAGGCTAAGAAGTTATATCAACATATGAGAAAAACCCACAATGGTAGAGGAAATGTTTATTCCAAGCAGCTTTGATAACGCCTGTCACACGTTATGGTGACTCTCCAGCCGTTAGGTCAGTGTGCTGACCTTTCTTCTGGTTGATCATTGATAGTGTTGGTAAAGAACACCTCGTCACTAATTGACTTAATTGTTTGGGAAATCCTCACCAGGTTACATCATTTCAGAGCAAGGTGACCATTAGCTAGAGTCATTATGATTGTGAAACCAAATATTTTTTAGATTTTATTATCACAGTTTGTGTCAGAATGTAAACTGTATTTCAGAATGAAAATGTAACAGATCCCTGTCTAAGCTGGACTTCCTGTGACTTATGGAAATTGTAACCTTCCACATTCCCATGTTATGAAATTTTTCTCAATCATCTTTATAGAATTCCTTGGATTATTCTACAAGGTTTACAAGCTAAGTGAAGTGTATGAGGTTGTGTCAGAAATATAACCCCAGTGTTTTGTTTATGTCCCCACTATATATACAGTACAAGCGAGTACGGTACAGTATAATGATTTGCATCTTGTCATGCCTTCCATACATACTTCCGTCCCACCCAAGTTATC